ACACACACACACACACACACACACACACACACACACACACACACACATTCATACCCACCATAACACAAGAAGACAATCTGATTTTTACCTTGCTGGAGTAAGGTCCAGGGATGAGCAGTTTCAATGCTTGTCTTTTCAGCTCTGTCAGCCTAGCGTTGCAGTTCTCACACCAAATCCCTCTTTCACTACCAGGGGAACTTCCACTGCCTGAGGCTGGTGATCCTGTCCCAAAACCCGGGGAGCCACCCAGAGAACCAGGCGATTCTGTCCCAATCCCCGGAGAGATGGTCCCTGGTGATCCGGAGAAAGACCCTGGTGAGGAGATTGCTGAGCCTGGGGACGGGGTGCCTGTGGAGCTCGGCATGGAGCCGGCACCCTCTGGGGCGGGGCGTGTGCCGGAGCGAGAGTTTTCCTCGTAGGGCTTTCGGTACCATGTGTCCGGGAAAAACGAGTCAGATTTGGTTGGGGAAGTGTCAGGCATCTGCAAAAAAATTAAAAAATGTATTAATTAAAAAGGAGAAATGTTTTTGGCATGTCATAACAGAAAAACACTGGTGTAAATAATAATATGAATTAACAATGGATGAATTACCCATAGGTTCTGCAATGAAAATAAAGCCTATATTGTGTGAATATGTGCAACATCCCACTCATTCCAGTGCACACAACAGGTTGACCAGGGATGAGAATTAAATAATGAGGAGGTGGTAAAGGCACGTGTCTTGTATCATGCAAATTAGAAGTCAAGCTATTTGCATTTTGCCTATAAAGCAAAATAATGATGTGTGTTCACAATATTCACCAAGCTATATTCCGTAGGCTTCCTGTTTTGTTGAATTTAACAAATCATTCATTGTTTGTGAGTGCTTACAAACTAAACAATATCTGAAATTCATGAGAGAGAATCAAAACAAATTATTTTGGCTGAACAAATGTACTTCACTCACAGCTTTAATATCCATGCTTAGCCTACATGCCAGCAATTGATAACTGGTGAACGTCTTGCTTTAGGACAAAATTCACAAGCTAAACGTACAGTAAACAGTCACAATATATGCCAATAAAACGCACACAAAAAGGCAAACTACAATCCTAACTAACATTGGGGAATTAAATCAAATGGTCGGACAATTAAAAACACACAAACAGAAAGCAATGTTAAACATGTACTGTGATGGTGCTCCAACCCAAGTCAAAGCGTCTGCATGGTGGATGTTTCTATTACCATATAAATAGGAATAAGTCTGATTCCGTGTGGAGACCTGTTTTATTTTTCTCTATTCAGACGACCACATGGGAACATGAAATGAGCCGCAAGGAGTTGAAAATTAAATATTTTGTGGCTGGGTAAATCCAGTCAGAGAGAGCAGATCCATTGATGTGGTGGTGGCTGGAGAGGTTGGGTATTATAGCTACTTTAATCCCTCACAAGGGCTATAATAAGGAAGCAATGAGTAGGCTGATAGGTGGGAAAGCTCACTCATCTCCAAATGAAGAGGTGGGTATAATGTGAACCAACCCTATGTTATAAATTAACACTAATTATGCTGTAGGAGGTATAGCAGTGACACAGGTGTGAGTGCAATTCAGCTGCATGGTCCTCAGTTAGTGATAATTAAGTGATGTGGGAGATCTATCAGTGAAAATGCATGCAACACCAAAAGCAGTGAGGTGCGAAATGTGTTTTTAACAAAGCACTCAGTCAACAGCATGAGGAAAAAATCGAATGAGCTTTCAACAGTTTCACATTCATGTCAGCCTGAAAAAGGTGAGCAAACTACACGTTCCTATCAAAATGGGTGGGCAGTGTGAGGTGAAGTGCATGCATCACTGAATGGAAGATAAGTTTTTATGAATGTTTACCCATAAGTAACAGGGGTGTGTCCACCCCTTGGCTACTGGAATGAACAACCTACCCCATATTTTCTGCTCCTGCTGCTCGCAGACCTCTCCTTGGTCCCTGACAGTGAAGTCATGTTGGAGGTGAGAGGAGGGAGGGAGGGAGGGAGGAGAGGAGAAAGAAGCTCTGGTGCAGCTTCACATTCAAAAAGAGACCACCGGATCGATTTCAATTAACCACGAGCCCCTGCAGTGTGCTCCTCTCACGCCACTTCCAAATGCATGTGGAAACCGGTTACATCCCCATTCCGTCGCCAAGAAACATACAAATCCTGGATGGTTTTCTTTTTTCCACGGTTGTTGCCTCCGGAGAAAAAAGCCCTCGAATCACTTCTAAAAACACAAATTGAGAATTCACGCAGGTCGTGCGAGAAAGCAGACCGCTCCCTGTGAGCAGCAGAGTCTGCTCTGCGCTGAATGAGGCTCAACAGCGCTCCGGACTGGCATCGCACTCAGCCCTGCCTCTCTCCATCAGCTCTGCGTCTGAGGCTGGTTGGCCAGGTAAAACAAAATCCCCCCTCCTGGGGCAAATTCCGTCTCATGGACTACCATTAAAGTCACGACTCATTAGATCGAGCAGGATCAGGCTGGTGCCGACCAAGGGAGTCCGTTCCTCGTTGTTACTATCCGTACCCTCCTGTTGACTTCCCGAGGCTCCGCACTCTTCTGAAGCCAGAAGTGGACTGAGGAGACAGGACAGAGGCGCACATCTGGATGAGGGCGGGGCCACCCTGCCCTTCATCATCCACAGGCCAATACACATCTAGAGGTTCTAGTTAAGTGGCAGGTAGACGGCTTCCAGTTTGAAGTGTGGATACTGGGATGTTGTTAGGAATTAGTGATTGTGCGTTTAACTAAACAATATAAGAAAATCTAAAAGGGACACTTCCAGTCTAGCTACCACTGATGACACTAAAGTCTGTGTACATTGTTGTCAGGGAGTAAGCGGTTAGTAGAGGTTTTAGTGACCTTGTGGTGACATAATGGTGTAGAATCTAAATAAACTGAAACATTTTTGGCAGTATTTCTTAATGGAATATAATTAAATTAAGGCTGCAGGTCAACCCAAAATAAATGAATCATAATTTCCCCATCGGAGTGTTATTGCTGACAGTGTGGAAAAAAACAAAGAAACAGCAAAAAGACCTTGAAGTAAATACAATTGACAGAAAACAAAATTGAAAAGTCAACTGAATCAATGAAATTAGAAAAAACGACACAACTAAATATTGACTTCACTGCTGGTATCTGGTCAAAGTGGGGTGGGTGTGTTGGGGGGGGGGGGGACGACTCAGGATTTCTAAGATCCAGGCTATGGCTCTGGGTAGGCTACTTCCTCTTTAGGATAAGTTCAAAGTCTTTGGGGATGGATTAGATGGAGAAGAAGAAAAGCAGCAAATGGATGTTGCATGAAGCTTGAGTGCAATGAGTTGAGGACTGGACATGGATGTAGACAAACCAGGCAATTGATCAGTGTCATGATCAATTGCCTGGTTCAATATGTGAACTGACTCTGTGAAAAACAATTTCTTGGCTCCTGCAGTAACATATTTTGACCGATGTGCCCTCCAACAAGTTAATGCAATCATCTCTGTCAGTCAAAATGGTCAACTGGCTGGTCTTTTCATTGAATTACGTGCAGTCTGTGTGTGTGCCAAGTCAAGGAAAAGTTATGTAGGAAAATGTTGTGAGTGTAGGATTAAGATCCAAGGCTTTGGAAGAGTGTAAAAATCAATATACGATCAGTAATATTTCTGCATTAACATCCAATGACCTCTTACAATGGTTGAGACACGTGCATTTAGTCACTGGTGTTTTAATCACTTTATTGTAAAATATAGCAGTTTATGAGCGGATACACAGTGCCCTCTACTGTTGTCATGAAGATATTGTTTTGAGACATGCAGCCACCCAGCAGCTGGGTGAGTAAAGCATGTTGGACTGCTACATGTTATGGTAATAATGCCATTTCTCACTGTTTCATCTTTACAGAAATGTGTGCTGTTACATTTTGCGGCACTAAAATGTACCTTCTGTGGATAAGGTTTTATATAAAGGACTATATTACAAAAAAGGGACACCATTTACGATGGCTATTATTACATTTACTCCCATAGGCTTTATTTTTTTCAAAAAACACATTTTGACATGTCACAGTAAGAAAACACAGGTGTATTTGGGATCTTTTTTTTTTACAGTTTTACACTTAATTTATTAGGACAGATATCTCTAAATATGTGTCAGTGTAATGTTGTGAGAGTCTGTAGCCTACTGTATGATGTAAAATATATGTATTGTATTGTATTAAATCCATATACTTAAACTCAGTTGGAAAGAGAGGCAGTAATTGAATTACTGGATGCATAAGTGAGAACAGCGAAATAACGTTGAAACCGGGAAATACTCAGGTAACTGAACAAGAAAAAAAGATATTAGAGAAAGCTTCTAAAATTGAAAATGAAACAGACTTTGTGTGGCTGGACATCTTTCTTTTGGCTGTCCCGACCTCCAGGTTGGACATTTATTTTCAACCCTACATATCTTTAACCGTACAGTTCCGTTTTAAACGTTCGGGTATTTGAATATACGCACTCCGTTGCAGTAGGTGGCGGTACATGTTTTTAAGGCGTGTTTACATCCGCATGATCCGCGATTACCTTGGACGTCTAAACAGCAGAGAGAGTACGTGTGACTTGCATTACATGTTTGATTTTGTTTAATTTTGCACGTTTTGTTTCAGTCCGCATGAGACTAACGTTACGACAATGCCTGCAGTCGTCAATGGAACTGGTCGCTAACTATTCAAGCAAACGCCTGAGTTTAACATCTGTAAGGTGAGTGGCTAACGTGTGTCGTACAGTGTTACTACTGATTCGTTTTGCCTGAGGTACAACCTTTAACAGATAACATATGGCGTTAACGTGTTCGGAGGCGTGTTGGTGCGTTTGATTGTGCCCAAAGATAGCTGTCTGCAAACGCTGAATTAACGTTAGCTTTATTTAACAGTCGCAAAACTCGCATTATAACCGTCAAACTGTAGCTAACGTTACTGTGCGACAGCAGCAAACGGCAGTCGCTGCTTTCACATGGTTGTGGGTAACGTTTGTTTACTAATGTAGCATGCTACGTCAACAAGCTGCTAGCAACCTGTCAGCTTTATCCAGTCGCTGTCCATCCAACTCGGCTATTACCAAAACGTTTGCGCTGGAGAGGTTTGCACACGTGTGATGTTATTTGCAATATATTTGTGTATTGTGCAATGCTAATGCGTCTTTGAGAATTTTTTTTCTTCCAGTAATTACACCGTAGTGGGGGGAGGAGCACTGTTGTGAATGTGGTGCCTTATCTTATCTTTGACAAATAACTTCGGGGACATGACTTTATAACTCCACAACAACGTAACTGAGATAGTGAACTAGCTAGGTTTTGATTGGTCGTTCCCTGGCATTAACAAACGCATGTAACGTAGATGCATGCAGAGTGAATATGGTATTTATCTCAATACCAACATGGCCTTTTCAAAGCGGAAGTAAGTAATAAGTTACATTCTCGGTCGGTCTTCACATGTTGGTTGAACAATACTTTCTCTTTCTCGTTACACAACTGTCAGGCCTGCTGCCAGCGCCTCAAAGTCCACCAGGGGAAATGTCATACTTTGACACTATCACTCTGATCCAATGAGCTCATGGGAAAGACTAAACCAACTCATACAACAATGAAAGGTAATCCAATCTGTATTCACTCCTCAATCCTGTAAGCAATACAAAAACAAATTTAAAAAGTGAGCGGCGGCTGCTAAATCTGTGAATGATATTTAAGGTGGATCTCGTAAAACCAGAACAAGGGAATCTACAAAGACATCGAGAGAGAAGGTCGCCTCAGACACAGTTTCATCTCAAGCCACGAAGGATGCGAACGCTGTGCCAGGCAGTGATGTTGCCACTGTCTTACCAAGTACTCCAAAAAGAGGCAGGAGACGAATGGGACAGACGCAAGAAGCACACCTGACCTCCACACCAGTCCGCAGCTCCTCCACAGACATCCTGTCCAACATTTCAAAGTCCCCCACCGGAGAGAAACACGTGGAGCTAGAGTACACTGAACTCATCACTCAGTTAAAGGTGTTGGATCATATTTTATTGATATTGTTTATGCATTTTGAGCCAACAAGTTGTTCTTCCTACACAGTTGATTTTAGGGATATTCTCAAACTCTTTTAATATGTGTTCTCTTGTAGACATCAGAGGTAGATTCTCCATGCTCCCAATCAAAATCTCAAAGCAGACGTAAGGGGGCTCATGCTTCCCAGCCGAGACAAGTTCGGAAAAGGCTGAAAAAGGAGCAAGCACCGACCTGCAGCACAACCAACGGTCCTGCTGCCAAGTGCCGACGAGGCAGGACGCGGAAGGTAGAGCAGGGGGGTTTACCAAAGGACACCACTACTCAGTCATCCAAACGCTCCAGACCAAGATTCGAACTGGAGAAGCTTGATGCAGCAACGCAAGGTAGTTTCTTTTTCATGCATGTTTGATGCAGAGTCGCCACAATACTTAAAATAAATTTGAGACGTGTATTTTAGGAGGTCATCACCCTCACGATCCAAAGCATAAGGAAATGATCTGTTTTCTGTGTGCAGTTATTTTTGCTAAATCAGACGATCAAAATAGTCTGCTTTAATCTTGTGATATTGCCCCC